CCCCCCAGTTTTCATCAGGTTAAATTTGTCCAGTAAATAGTACAACTGAGGGGATCAATCGATTTCTTCTAACCTGCTTAGTGACCACCCTCTTTGTCAAGAGGGCTAAGTGACGCTGTCTTCATCCATTCAGGCAAGCTGTAACGAAATACCACACATGGGGGGCTTATAAACAACGGAAGTGTTCGAACGAACATTCGAGGTGGGGGTCGGGAATCTGTATTTTAACAGCGTCCGTGGGCTCGCTGTTCTCTGCTGCATGTAGAACTCCGTGGAAAAGTTGGGATATCTGGGGACCCTGACCGCCCACCCGTGTCTGTTCAAGCCTCCGGGTGGTCCTGACAGGCAGCAAAGTCTGGGAACCGCGGTGGGAAGCGCTTCTGTTTGTAGTGGGTGTGTCCGAGCTGTCTGGGGAAGGGGGCAGGGCTTGGGGCCAGCTCCTGTGTGTTCTGGGGAATACGGGGAGAGGCTGCCAAACCCAAAGACAGTGGGAGCTTGGTGAAAGCCTCAGGGGGTCCCAAGGGCCCAGCCAAGCACCCTGGGGTTCCAGGAAGAGCCTCGGCCCCCAAGGGGAAGTCCTAGAGAGAGGGGGACTGTGGCTTTGGTGGTGATTCAAAGGGAGGCCCGAGGCTTCAAGCACGGAGATCAGAGTCAGACCCTGCAGGTTCAATCCTTCTGCCAGTCGCTGCCCGTGCACCTGGGCAACTCCCTGGCCTCCCTGAGTCTCAGTTTCCCCACCGGTTAAGGGCGTGGAGTGCTTGTTGCACAAAGGGTTGGTATGAGGCTTCTAGTACTAACCGAATGCACGGAATGCGCTCAGCACCGTATCTGGCACATTTAATGCCGAAGATGCCTGGCATTAATTATCAAATTCGCCTGCCTGGGCCCCAGGATCGGCTGCGGGCGCCCCTGGCATGGAAGTATAAGGTCTGGGAATTAAGAGCCTGGAAAGGCGGCACAGTGAGACCGAGCCCCGCGAGGACAGGGGATCTGAGGGACCCACCGCGCCAGCCCCGTCCAGCACGGGGCCTGCCCCGCTGTAAGTGCCCAGGAAAGATCCTTCCGAAAGGAAACCGTGGGCTTCTCGTCCGGCTTCAAATGGGCAGGTGGGTCAAAGAGGAGTTCTAAGGTGCGTCCCAGCTGGAACGCTCAAGGGCCCTTCCGAACGAGTCTGGTCCTAAGCCCGGCTCAGTCTGGTCCCCACCCCCGGCTCAGCAGCAATTATCAGCTCCTGATCTCTCCTGCCCGCTCGACCCCAGGACAGTAGCTCGGGCTAGAGTTCATGCAGGAAGCAGGACTTTGAAGGAGGGCGCCGGGCCGCCGGGCCTCACCTTTGGCAATGACACGGGCGCCGGAGGTCTCCGGGTGCCACGAAGTGCGATCCTGAAGGGACGGACCCTTCACACGGGGATCCCCACAGCCTCTCCGGGAGCTCCCAGCCTCTGGATATTTGCTTTGGTTAGGTCCGATGGGAGCATGTTCCCAAAGACCACGGGAGCTCGGTCTTTCCTGCGGGGGGTGACTGAAGACGGCCGAAGGGCCGGGGGCTCCAGACCTCCGGGTAAGGCAGACCTTAGTTTCATCCTGGATGTGCCCCACCCGCCCCCCCAACCCCCCGACTAGCTGTGCGGCCTTCACAGCCACTCAGCCTCGCTGAGCCTCCGTTTCCTCTGCTCCGGGGACAATTAGTAGGCCTGCCTTGTGATTTGTTGAGGGAACCATATGACAGGGGACAGAAGAACCTCTCCACTGAGAGGTGAGCACTCAGTAGATACTAGCTGCGATGTAAGGGCCTGTGTGTGTGCGCATGTGCACAGGGAAATGGGCAGTACGTGGCTCCCGCCCTCAAGGGAGGACAGTGTCGTGGGGGCAACGTACATTGACTCTTCCATTCATTCTATTGATAGCTGTTTATTGACACCTACTCTATGACAGGCTTTGGAAGGCCTGACACCCTCCTACAGCCCCCAGCCAGGAGGAATGTCCAGATGCTTCTTGATTACCCCCACTGGCAGCACGCTCACTACCTTATAACTGATTTCCTTCCATTAGAAAATTCTCCACGTACAGTAGCGGGACAAGCACGGACCCAACAGATTTGGGTTTGAGTCAAATTCTACCACTTCCTGCGTGTTAACCATGAACAAGTCCCTTTGCTGACATACACAATGGAGATCGCGATGCCAACCGCTGTGGGGAAGACAAGACAGGCCACAATAACTGAGACCTGGCTCAAGACTGGCCCCTGGCGGCCACCAGAGCTGTGGTCTGCAATGGAATGGACTGGCGAGGACAAGCCAGGAGCTCTAGCCACGTGGTGCTTGGGCCCAGAACCTTGGTGGGTAGGGGTATCTAGTCGTAAGAATATCATTTTTTTTTTTAATTTTTTTTTTCAACGTTTTTATTTATTTTTGGGACAGAGAGAGACAGAGAATGAACGGGGGAGGGGCAGAGAGAGAGGGAGACACAGAATCGGAAACAGGCTCCAGGCTCCGAGCCATCAGCCCAGAGCCTGACGCGGGGCTCGAACTCACGGACCGCGAGATCGTGACCTGGCTGAAGCCGGACGCTTAACCGACTGCGCCACCCAGGCGCCCCAAGAACATCATTTTACAACAGAGAAAACCAAGGCTCAGCAAGTGAACTCCCAGAGTCTCTTGGACAGTATGTTGCAAAGACTAGACGTGGCCCAGGGTGACGTTTCTAAAATACACATCTGTGCCCCCATCTTTCTCCTGCTAACATCCTTCAACAAATCATCAGAGCAGACTCCAGCCAAAAGTCTGAGACCTTAGCCAGGCATTCAAGGCTCTCCTTGATCTTTGTGCCCAGCGACCTCGTTGTCATCTATGAGAAGGTGCCCATGTGCTTGCATCTGGGGCACAGGGAGAATCGTGGGGAGCTGGTGCAGGGTGCGGGCAAGAGGCGGGAGGAGACTGAGGTCTGTTGGCCTCGTGGGTGGTCAGTTAGTGAGAAGAAGGTTGTGTGTCATGCACCCTTGCTTCCTTCGAGTCTTGCACAAAGCCTGGCACGTGGTAGGTGTTCACGAAGCATCTGTTTCCGTAGAATGCGCGAAAGAGTGGATGCACATGTCCCCAACTCAACGGTCCACCCCTGAGGACAGGAACCACCTGCCACCCCTCTGCTTCCCTGCGTTGCACACACACACACACACACACACACACACACAC